TAAAAGAAATTGAAAAAGACACAAAGAAATGGAAAAACATCCCCGGCTCATGGATTGGAAGAATTAACATTATCAAAATATCCATCCTACCAAAAGCAATATATAGATTCAAAGCTATTCCAATAAAAATCTCAATGACATTCTTCAAAGAAAGTATTTCATCAAATACTGATGAAATACATATAGAACCACAAAAAAAAACACGAACACAAATAGCAAAAGCCCTATTGATCAAAACAAAGGAGAAAGGAGGTATCACACTTCCAAACTTCAAGCTATACTACAAAGCCATAATAATTAAAACAGTTTGGTATTGGAACAAAAACAGACACACAGACCAATGGAACAGAATAGAAAGCCCAGAAATAAAACAACACTTATATGGACAACTGATCTTTGACAAAGGAGCAAAGAATATGCAGTGGAACACGGACCGTTTGTTCAATAAATGGTGCTGGGAAAACTGGACCACCACATGCAAAAAAAAATGGAACTAGACCACTACCTTTCACCGTGCACAAAAATCAACTTGAAATGGATAAAAGAACTGGACATAAGACCTGAAACCATGAAATATATAGAAGAAAATATAGGTAAAACACTACAAGATATACACTGCAATAACATCTTTAAAGACTCATCAACCAAAGCAGTGATAGTGAAGGCAAAGATAAACACCTGGGATGACATCAAACTGAAAAGTTTCTGTACAGCCAAAGAGACATTAACCAAAACACAGAGACACCCCACTGACTGGGAAAAAAATCTGTGCACTCCATCCAACTGATAAGGGACTGATCACAAAGATATACAAAGAACTCACATGGCTCAACAAAAACAAAATAAATAATCCGGTCGGTCAAGAAATGGACAGAAGAACTTAAAAGACATTTCTCCAAAGAGGAAATGCAAAGGGCCAACAGGCATATGAAAAAAAGTTCAGCATCCCTTATAATCAGGGAAATGCAAATCAAAACCACATTGAGATACCACCTTACACCAGTGAGAATGGCACATATCAAAAAAACAAGCAACAACAAATATTGGCGAGGATGTGGTGAGAAAGGAACTCTCCTACATTGCTGGTGGGAGTGCAAACTGGTCCAACCACTATGGAAAGCTGTTTGGAGATTCCTCAGTCTACTAAATATGGAGCTACCATATGACTTGGCAATTCCACTCCTAGGGATCTACCCAAAGGACATAAAAACAGTGATTCAAAAGAGCACCTGTACACTTATGTTTATTGCAGCACTATTTACAATAGGTAAAACCTGGAAACAACCCAAATGCCCAAAAATAGATGAGTGGATCAAGAAGATGTGGCATATATACATAATGGAATATTATTCAGCAATCAAAAAAGATAAACTCATGCCATTCACAGCAACATGGATAGATCTAGAAGGAATTATGCTCAGTGAAAGAAGCCAGAAGGAAAAAGAAAAATATCAGATGGTTTCACTTTACAACAGGAATATAGGGGAACCAGTTAAGACATCAGTGTGAAAAAATAGTAACAGTACAAAACACAACAAAGAAAAAATGGACAATTATGAATCAGAGACATCCTGCAGGGGGAGGAGGAGGGAGAGGGATCAGAGGGAGGGAGGGAGGGGCACAGGGGACTGAGGTGATGGTGCACAGGTGCATTGGTAAAGGAAATTCTATGGGGACTACACCTGGGGGCAGGGGAAGCAAATATTGTTTAAAAATGAACAATGATGTAAAAAATAAAAAAAAAATTAATGTAAAAAAGGAGTATAGAAGTAACATACAGTTTTTTTTCCTAGAATACCAAAAAAAAGAATTCTGATAAAGCACAAAATGTTGTTTTGTGCAATAACCAGTGTAACTGGATTTTATCATCTTTTCTCTAAAGCTTAAAGAAAATGATTGAATTTGCTTTCTAAGACCTGTTTAGTACTAACACTTTTCTGCCTACTTCACAGTAGGCGCCAAGAAGCAAACGAGATAATGTGTGTGAATGCATTTTGAAAATTATATAAAGTACAATTCAAAAGCAAGCTATTATTATTAAACAACAATTAAACAATTGTTCAACAATTGTTTTCTAAATATTTACTGTTTTCCATTCTTATGGCATTTCCTAGGGCTAAATGAAAATGAACAAGATCATCTCCGAGGTGACATACTTTCATAGAGGTGGAAAATTTTCACATTCTTCCCTTATAGGTTTTTTGGCTAGTGTAAAAATTAATTGGACATATGATTAAGGGAGACAAACACATTTAATTACATATGTGCATACTAGAGCCCCACAAAGACATGAGATTCAAAGGCAGTCAATCAGTGATGACTTACACACCATCCTGAGCTAAGGAAATCAAGGAGGCCTGGGGCTTCAAAAGGAAGTCAATTCACAGGAAGATGAGAGGAGCAAATGTTTCATAATCCGATGTTTACCCTGCCATGCAGATAAGTCTCAGACAAAAAAAAAGTTTCTCTAGTAATACGTCTTTTTTTGGTACAGGCCCCCTCTATCTAAATTCTGCTATGCAGCTGAGCGAGAAGTTAAAAGTTTTTCCTGAGTCTGCTGAATCTTGATTGCTTTCACCTCAAGGTAATCCAAAGGGCAAAGTGGTACGTTTGGGGACAGTACACTCTGCTCACCTTCACTTTCTAGCAGGAAGCAGACATGTGAACAAGTAGTTACTCTACAGGCAGGTCAGAAGTGGGTACAGATGTTACAGAGCCAGGAGCACTCAAGTCACCTGAGAAAATTCCCCCAGAAGAGAGGGCATCTAAGAGGCATCCAAGAATGAGTGCCATGCTGCCAGCTGGGGAAAGGGAAGGATGTGTCTGACACAAGACACAATGTGACCAAAGACAAGCCCATGCCAGGCAGAGATTTGGCCAAGACTTCCTGGTGGTTTGCTAGTTTCTGTATATACACTTGCTGGCCATTATTGGATGGACCAGCACTTTATTTTTTTTAATATATTTTTACATCATTTTTGCACAATGTATGCATTTTCATCTTAGTTATAGTCCCCATACAATTCCCACCTCCCTTACTTTGACCCTAATCCCACCCCCGCCCCATAGTGTGTCTCTGGTTTATAGTTGCTTGTTGATTTTGATTTTTACTTTATTATAATTAGTCTTTTTCCTGGTCCCTTATTTAGGTTTTCTAAATTCCTGCTATGAGTGAGACCATCCAGTATTTTTCTTTTTCTTTCTGGCTTCTTTCACTGAGCATGATCCCTTCCAGCTCCATCCATGTAGCTGCAAATGGCATGAGTTTATCTTTTTTGATTGCTGAGTAATATTCCATTGTGTATGTGTACCACATCTTTTTGATCCAGTCATCTATTTTGGGGCATTTGGATAGTTTCCATAGCTTAGATATTGTAAATAGTGCTGCTATAAACATAGGGGTGCACCAGCATTTTAAACAATACTTTGTCACCTCACCTTTCTGTTACCCACCCTTCACTCTATCTCCCTCTTTCTTTTAAGTTTGTTCTTCCTCTTTCCTCAGAAAGTATCTATGATCGTTTTGCATAGACTGCTTTAAAGGAAAAGCTCAGCTTTTCAAACTAGCTGTAGAATGAACAAGTACTTTGCCCAACAATTGCCTTTGAGTTTGGAGCTTCATTAGTAATAGCTAATGGCAGCTAACACTTGCTTAATATTGCTTTTTTAATAAAAGAAATTAATTTCATGCAGATATTTCTCTCCAACCAGGATAGAGCAATATCCTGCATAGGCAGGTATATTAAAAGGCTATTTTCCCCAAAAAAAGCAGAAATTCGTGTTCATCATAATTGTTCATGGAATATGGCTTCCAAGCTACACAATCTTAAGCATGCACAGGGCTTTTGTTTTCATTCTAATATGCTGTTACAGAGGTAATAATCTATGTTTCTTCTCAACCTAGATTTGCATTCTCTGCCTCAGTCTCTCCATTCACAAAACTGGATAGTCCAGGCTTGCTCCTATTCTGAGAGTCCAGAATAAATGAACGGGTCAGATTCCTACTGACTTTTATGTTCCACATCTCATCTCTAGGTAGGGACATCCCTTCTTACACCAGTTAGAATGGCACATATCAAAAAAACAAGCAACAACAAATGTTGGCGAGGATGCAGTGAAAAAAAGAACTCTCCTACACTGCTGGTGGGAGTGCAAACTGGTCCAGGCACTGTGGAAAGCTGTCTGGAGGTTCCTTCAGTCTACTAAATATGGAGCTACCATACGATCTGGCAATCCCACTCCTAGGGATCTACCCAAAGGACACAAAAACAGTGATTCAAAAGAGCACCTGTACACCTATGTTTATTGCAGCAGAATTTACAATAGGTAAAACCTGGAAACAACCCAAATGCCCAAAAATAGATGACTGGATCAGGAAGATGTGGCATATATACACAATGGAATATTATTCAGCAATCAAAAAAGATAAACTCATGCCATTTGCAGCGACATGGATGGAGCTAGAAGGAATTTGCTCAGTGAAATGAGCCAGAAGGAAAAAGAAAAATATCGGATGGTTTCACTTAAAGCAGGAATATAGGGGAACTAAATAAGACATCAGCGTAAAAAAAAAATAATAATGTACAAAACACAACAAAGCAAAAACACAACTATAAACAGAGACATCCTGCAGGGGAGGAGGAGGGAGAGGGGTGAGAGGGATAGAGGGAGGAGCACAGGGGACTGTGGTGATGGTGCACGGGTGCCTTGGGGAAGGAGAGTCTAAGGGGACTCAATCTGAGGTGGTGGGGTAAATATTGTCTGAAAAATTTTTTTAAATGATAAATGTTAAAAAAAGAAGAAGAAGAAGACTGACGTGGGCGAGCCGCGCCGCCGCCGAGCCCCGCGCGGGCTCCACCTCGCCTCAGGCCACTCCTGTTCCTCGCTGACCCTGGCGGGCACATGCTGCCGCTCACCACGCAAGTCTGGGTCCTTCTGCGAAGCACCCGGGCCCGCCCGGAGTCGCTCCCAAGCTGCCTGTTCCCGCGCGTGTCCGGAGGGGTGGAGCAGCCCCGTTACTCTGGAGATGAAAGGCTGGGGTTGGCTGGCCCCGCTTCTGGGGCCTCTGCTGGGAACTGCCTGGGCTCGGAGGAGCCAGGATCTACACGGTGGAGCCTGCAGGGCGCTGGTGGATGAACTAGAGTGAGAAATTGCCCAGGTGGATCACAAGAAGACCATTCAGATGGGATCTTTTGTCATCAATCCAGATGGCAGCCAATCAGTGGTGGAGGTGCCTTATGCTCGCTCAGAGGCCCACCTCTCCAAGCTGCTAGAAGAAGTATGTGCCCGGATGAAGGAGTATGGGGAACAGATCGGTCCTTCTACCCACCGCAAGAACTACATTCGCGTTGTAGGCCGGAGTGGAGAATCCAATGAACTGGACCTACAGGGCATCCGAATTGATTCAGACATCAGTGGCACGCTCAGATTTGCGTGTGAGAGCATTGTGGAGGAATATAAGGATGAACTCATTGAATTCTTTTCTCAAGAGGCCGACAATGTCAAAGACAAACTTTGTCATAAGCGAACAGATCTGTGTGACCATGCCCTGCACATATCTCATGATGAGCTATGAACCACTGGAGCCCCCCCCAAGACTGACAGACATGATGGATCACCCCCAGGAGGGGAAGGGGGTGGCAATGCCTTTTATATTATGTTTTTGCTGAAATGAACTGAAAAAAATGGAAAAAAAAAAAAGAAGAAGAAAAAAAAGAAAGAAAGACTGTTCTATCAGGCCAAAAAAAAAAAAAAATACATTTGATCTATGTGGGTAGTTTGCATTATAAAATACATTTGTCTCCATCATGCAGTAAAATTTGTTAGCTGGGCACTTATAGCCAACACTTCTGCTTGAACCAGGTGATGTCAGGGTCAGCTCTGATATGTCAAAAGATTTCTATCTGCTGTGTTTATTCCTGTGGGTGAGGAAAAGTGAATGAGGGGGGAAATGAGAGTATGAATCAGAAAACAGAAACATCCTCTGTCAAGTTACAATTTGGAGACAGAAAATGAATCTATCCCCTTTACAACCATCCACACTGAATTAGGGTACAGGCAGACCATTAAATCATTAGGCACTTTAATTAATCACTAGTGAAGGAGAAAACAAATAAATAAAGCAAGTGTCCGACAGCCTCCATTAGTCATCACTCTCAGTGTCCTCTCATCAATTGCAGCACCTAGTGCCTGCTGCTTCTAATGACATTTTAATGGCTCTTTGCTTGGGCTTTTTGTTTGGAACAGTGGGAGAGAGTCAAGATTTGGGCATGCCGACTCAGTAATGAGGTGAGATTCCACTGGGCTCAGAAGGAGGTGAGGGACTGAATATCCCTCAGCGGAGCCCAACCCAGCAGGACATTCAGGCATCCTGCCTGCAGCCCAGAAGCTTCTCATCAATAAACTCATTAGCACTGTTTGCCATGACATTTCATACAGAAAATGAATTTGAACCTTGCTTCTAAGGAGGTGAGGGTAAACGGGCTAGAAAATGGCAGGATCTAGAGTTTTATCTTAGATACCAAGATAAAAGGCATCCCTTAAAGGGCATCCCTTAAAGGGTTCAGTCTTCATCTTATAATGTGATTTCCATGAGCTCATCCACTCTTCCTTCAACCAGTATTAAGGGCTTATTAGAAGATAGGCTACATCAGGATAAGGGAGTGACCCAAGAAATTGGAGATATTGCCTCCAGGATATACATGATCCGGTGTATAAGAGACAAGGGGAGTGCCCTGAATAGAAATAAATGGAGATCCAGGGTACAACTGGCCAAGTAAGTGACTAATTCAAAATGGAGGAGTTAAAGGGGTGGGACTTCTTTAAGATGATGAAGCTGATAGACCACCTAACAACAGACTACATACCGTGTTTGGATTATATTAACAGGTTTAATAACTGGGAGAGATTTTGAGGACAAGTTAGTGATAAGTACCTTAGAAATTAAACAATGACCATTATTTTTTTATTTACCAAGACTTTTTATTTATTTTTTTGTTTTAATTTTTTTTTATTTTTTACATCATTGTTCATTTTTAAACAATATTTGCTTCCCCACCCCCTCAGGTGTAGTCCCCATAGAGTTTCCTTTACCAAGGCACCTGTGCACCATCACCTCAGTCCCCTGTGCTCCTCCCTGCCCCCCTCTGATCCCTCTCCCTTCTCCTCCCCTGCAGGATGAACAACCACCATGATAAATTCTAAAGAAGCCTCTCAAAAAGTTATGCCTCAAAGAAAATGTAAATGGCTCAGCTGCGAATATGGTATACACGGTCCTAATGCAAATTCTGAGTATTGGTCAAATCAAAATTGCCATTTAACTATATTGGGAGTCGTGGAGAAGGGCATCTACTTGAGGAAGAATGAGGAAAGCCTAAATTCTCATTTTTCCACAGAAGGAAATCAATAGATAATGTCTGATACTGAGAAACACACATGGCATTTAGAGAAATAGAGCTAAATCTTCTTCACCAGAAAAAAAAAAATCTATTGAATGAGCTCAAAATAGTTGTTTCTGGTTTCTGAACTGTGGGAAATGAAAGAACGGAAGAACAGTGGCAGAACTATGTTTTCATGGCAAGTCATGTGGAACTATCTGACCTCCTGAACTTTGTGCTTACATAACTTGGATAAAAATAAAATCTTAACTAAACAAAAATAAAGTAACTTTACGGGCCTTAATGTCATGGTTATCATAAGTCAAGTTGCTAGATAAAACATGGAAATCCTAGCTAAATTTGAATTTCAGGAAAGCATCAAGTTTTTGAAAATTTGGCATTTTAGCAATAAAAATTATATTTAAGGCATACAATGTGATACTCTGATATATGGATTCATGGTGAAATGATAGCCACAATCAAGCTAATCAATATATCCATTACCAATCATGGTTACTGTGTGTGTGTATTAGTCATTAAAAGCACAAAGTAAATAATCCAGTCAAAAAATGGGCAGAAGAGGTAAAAAGGAGCTTCTCCAAAGAGGAAATGCAAATGGCCAACAGGCATATGAAAAAATGTTCAGCATCACTTGCAATCAGGGAAATGCAAATCAAAACTACAATGATACCATCTTACACATATTAAGATGGCACATATTAAAAAAACTAGCAACAACAAATGTTGGTGAGGATGTGGACAAAATATACTCTCAACAAATTTTAGGTATATATTACAATATTATTAACTCTAGCTTCCATGCTGTACATCAGATCCTCAGAACTTATTCATCTTCCATAACTGAAACTTTGTACTCTTTGACCAATATCCCCTTCCCACACCTCCCTAATTCTTGGCAGCCACCCTTTAATCTCTGCTTTTTGAAATCTACTTTTTCAGATCCTACATGTAAGTGAGATCATGTTGTAGAAAATAATTTTTAGGATGTCATGTCCAAAATATTGCAGACATACTTATACTAAAAAATTATCTGTTGCTTATCTGAAAGTCCAATTTAACTGGTATTCTGTATTCATATTTGCAAAACTTCTAATGCTAATCATGAGAATATCATATTATCAGATAACTTGTTCACTATGCTACAGAGGCCACTTTATAAAGACCCATAGAAGAGGGCCTCCCCAGTGGTACAGTGGTTGAGCGCTGGGCTGCGAAGCTGCCTGTAGCCTCCGCAGAACTAGTTCAATACCCGGACACCGGTGAGGGTCCCACATGGCGCGCAGACCTCTCCTGCCACACCCACTGCTCCCCTCAGCAGTGTATTTCATCAATCAGTCTGTTCTGCTCCTCGTTCTGGCTCTGGTGAATTCTCTCACCTTTCCGCGCTTCTGACTATACCCAGTGCTTGTATAAATAAATAAATAAATCTTTAAAAATAAATAAATAAATAAAGATCCATAGAAGAAATTAAGATTTCAGTTCCCAAAGTTACATTAACTTCTAATGATTCTGTACCCAATTACAATGCACGTGTGTATGTTGGGGGGCGAGGGGCGGGGAAGGGGGAATTACTTCAACAAGCAATTCTTCAACACCAGCTGGATGTTTTACAGTGTATTTCATTTTTTTTCTTTCTTTTTATTTAAATATTTTATTTTATATAATTCTTACATCTTTTTTCATCTTTGCACAATGTATGCATTTACATTTTGGTTATATTCCCCATACAATTGCACCCCTCCCCCCTTATTCTGACTCTAGTCCTTCCTCTCCCCACCCACCCCCCACCCCGTGTGTCTCTGGTTTATACTTGCTTGTTGATTTTGATTTTTACTTTGTATTGATTAGTCTTTTTCCTGGTCTCTTATTTAGGTTTTCTAAATTCCTGCTATGAGTGAGACCATCCAGTATTTTTCTTTTTCTTTCTGGCTTATTTCGCTGAGCATGATCCCTTCTAGCTCCATCCATGTTGCTGCAAACTGCATGTGTTTATCTTTTTTGATTGCTGAGTAATATTCCATGGTGTATATGTACCACATCTTCTTGATCCAGTCATCTATTTTTGGGCATTTGGGTTGTTTCCATAGCTTAGCTATTGTAAACAGTGCTGCTATAAACATAGGGGTGCAGGTGCCCTTTCTGTGTCATTTGGGTAAAAACCTAGGAGTGGGATTGCTGGATCATATGGAAGCTCTATGTTTAGTAGTTCAAGAAATCTCCACACAGCTCTCCATAGTGGTTAGCCCAGTTTGCACACCCAGCAATGCAGGAGAGTTCCTTTTTCTCCACAACCTCGCCAACATTTGTTGTTGCTAGCTTTTTTAATATGTGCCATTCTTCCTGGTGTTAGATGGTATCTCATGGTAGTTTTGATTTGCATTTCCCTGATTACAAGTGATGTTGAACATTTTTCACATGCCTGTTTGCCATTTGCATTTCTTCTTCAGAGAAGTTTCTTTTTAGCTCTTCTGCCCATTTTTGGACTGGATTATTTTCTTTGTTTTTGTTGAGTCTCATCAGCTCTTTGTAGATTTTTGTGATCAGTCCTTTATCATTAGTGTTGTGTGCAAAAATGTTCTCCCAGTCGGTGGGGTATCTCTTTGTTTTGGTTATTGTCTCTTTTGCTGTGCAGAAGCTCTTTAATTTGATGTAGTCCCAGGTGTTTATCTTTGCCTTCACTATCACTGCTTTGGGTGATGTGTCTGTAGAGATGTCTTTGAGGTGCATATCATGTAGTGTTTCACCTATATTTCCTTCTATATATTTTATGGTTTCAGGTCTTATGTCTAGTTCTTCAATCCATTTTGAGTTGGTTTTGGTGCATGGTGTGAGGTAGTGGTCAAGCTTCATTCTTTTGCATTCAGCAACCCAGTTTTCCCAGCATCATTTATTGAACAAACTTTCTTTGCTCCAATGCGTATTCTTTGCTCCTTTGTCAAAGATTAGTTGACCATAAATCTGTGGGTTTATTTCTGGATTTTTTATTCCATTATGCCTTGAAGTCCCACAAACTTCCCTGGAGGTGGGGCAGCTGGATTGCACTCTGGGTTCCAAAAAAACTGGATCCCCCTCTGGCCTCCAACTTCCTGCCAGGCGGGACCAGGCTTGTGGGGGCCTTCAGCTCACCTCTGACTGCACAGGGAACCTTCCCCCTCTGGCTCCACTGGGAGCCTTCTGCCAGTTTCAAGCCATCTTTATTGAAGACAGGTCCCTGTTCTAAAATGGTGATGCTGGGTACACACTCCTGTGTGCGCCCAGTCTGCCCTGGCCTTGGGTGCTGCTCCCCCTCTGTGCTTGAACTGCT